GATCAAATCCGTAAAAATTAATTTCATTCAATGTGTAGTCTTCGCGTAAATATAAGAAATCATTAAGAAAGCATAATTTTAGTAAACGATAGTTTTTTTTTAAACTAAGTTTGAACAAACAATAAGTCTAAATATCAATATGCCACTAATGTTCAGTATCATTTACATTGGGCTAGAATGAAAATAAAATAAAAATATAATTATAAATAATCCGACGACAACCTTTTGATCTCAAAACTAAAATAAAAGACAAATCTTTTTTTACACTAGTGTAAACCAAAAAAGTAAAAAAAAATATTGCCATGAATTTTCAGTTAAAAACTTTAAAAACAATCATTTCACCAAAATTCTTCTTCGTCTCTTTCCCAAAATACGGTTTCGTTTTTTCCTGACTGTATTTCCCGCTTTCAAAAATAATCTTTCGGCTGGCGCGGAACTGGCCATCACTGAGATGTGTTTAAAAGCCAATTCGGTTAGTTTAGGGAAAGTTCCTTCAGAGCTTCTCCATATATTGAGGGCATCTATCTGCCTTGAGATTTGATAGTGGTGCCGCAATATATAGATCCAATTCAGTATTTTTGACGTAGTTTTGACGTGTTAGCCGCTATCATTTTTTCATTATAAAATACTTCTGTCAGTCACTTCTACGCGTTTCACAAGACATTTTTATTGTTTATATATAATTGTTTACACTAACCAAAGAAAGAAAGAAAACCACAGAATACTTTTACTCCTAGCGGAGGAAGAAGCCTGTTGAAAACATACGAAAAGCGAAACTGCTTTACATACATAGAGATACATAAAGGTGGCGCCGTCTTTTGATTGACTTATTCATTGAGCTTACTTCACGTTTTTACATCCATCGCACAGATGACTCTGATTACAAAAATCGATTGAAACGCGTAATTTACATAAAAATCGATTTATTAAAAATCGATTTTTATTATAAAAAAAATCGACTTGGAAAAATCGATTATAACAAAAAAATAATCGATTAATATAAAAATCGATTATTTTTTCACATCCCTACGTCAAGCTGAAGTTAAAGTTTTGAAAACTATCGGAACTGGCAATAAGTAATAAATATATAATCAAAAGTATTAAAAATATTAGTAAATAATGCAAAAAACGAAAAAGAAAAGGGGCAATGAAGAACCTATGGAAGTTGATGAAAATCCTTCTGAAGTTCAAAATGGTGAAGTTAACGGCAATAAAGACCTTATGAATGGGGAAATTGATCACATTTCTGACGATGAAGAAGGCGGTGTTCGTATCGGAGACATTTACATACCACCAGCACCTAAACCAGCGCTTACTTTTGATGCCAATGGTCCTAGATTAATAATTACCCACATTGTTAACGAAAATTTTAAAAGCTACGCTGGAGTGCAAACATTGGGCCCCTTTCATAAGGTAAAAAAATTTTTGCTCACTTCGGCTTTTTTCTTGTCATAATAAATATTTTTCTTAAAAATAATGAATTAAAGAAAAAGAGTTATTCAAATTATTACTTAGAAATTGTTCAAAGAAGTCTGTCTTCTTTGTTTTTAGCTCCAATTTGAATCTAGTAGCCAAAGTAAGCACTGTCAAATGACTACTATTTGAAAGAACTACTTTTTTAACATACTGTGTGGTGTGTGTACTAACTTGTAACTCATAGTTTCAGAAAAAATTAAGAACAATATAACAATTTTTCTTTACTACCCTTGCTCACATTAGCATAATACACATTTGTATATTGCACTTTGTTTATGCAAGTTGTGATGATATGGTTACATAAAATTTTAATAATACGAAACCAAATTATTGATGTCTCAGTTGGTAACACTAATTTTAATGTAGTATTATTTTCTTCGTCATGGTTTGCAATAATGCCCATAATGATACTTAATCTATTTTGATGTTATCATGTAATTACTTTTATCACATTATACTATTGTGTAAATATGATCAGGACATATTACTATATGGTCGAATTGTAACCATGCTCGGCTTTATACAGCACAGTAGACTGTTCTATTGTTGTTATAACATATAGATTTGTACAATAATAAATTGGCTGTTTTGTAATTTACAGATGCAAAATAAATATTTTTTGCTGACCATTTTGTTAAGTTGTTAAGCATTTAAGCGTAATATATTAAAAAAAAAAAAACTAAAACAATTTTATGTTTCACTTTATACTGAATAATCTTTATATTTTATTAGTCAAGATTATGCATACTCTTCCATATTTGATTTTGTTTGAGAACATTTACATTCATGCAATATGTTCACTGGAAAATTATTTTGTTACAGAGTTTCACAGCAATTATTGGGCCAAATGGTAGTGGTAAAAGCAATGTCATTGACTCTATGCTCTTTGTATTTGGTTATCGAGCTACAAAGATCCGTTCGAAGAAAATATCAGTTCTTATACATTCATCTAGCAAGTTCCCAAATATTACAAGTGCAAGTGTTGCTGTTCATTTCTGTCAGATTATTGATGGGGTAAGTAGAATACTATAGTTAGATTTGTGAGTGCCGACTAGACAAAGTTACGATCGATTGTAAATATTTTAACTGCCCTAACCTCTTCTCTTTATCATAGAATTTTATTCCTAATAACATCCCCTATCCCATAAATCGTAAGTCTTTGTTTAATTTAGTTTACACTCTTTTTGTACAAATATTAGACTTCATATTAATTAATAATATTAAGCTATAGAACTTTTTCCACTTTCATCCATTATAATACTAGCAATAATTTTCTAAAACTTTCATTCAATAATAACTTCCTATGACACTTTGTAACATAGAGTTAAATAAGACAATCTATGGAAACGGAAAGTACTCAAATACACTGTGTGACTTACATGAAATACTTGACGCTGTCATAATCCATTGGTGGTTGCCAAACTAGGGAAAAAAATTAGAAAACGTTGAATTATTTATAAATAACTAGTAACACCCGCATATATCTGCTGAATAAAAGAGTAATGGAGAAGTTTCATGATGTTGTTAATATTATATTCAATGTAATGGTATTAAAATATAGATCAAAAGTCAAAACTAATCAATCAGTGAAAAAATTTTTGAAATGCATCAGCAAATCGTCGTTGCGCGTGCAAAACCGCGGAAGAGCAGTTTGTAAATACCGCGTATCTACATTTTTAGAATTTTACAGGAAGAAGAAAAAACTTAATAACTTGGTAATTTATAATTATATTACCGACTGAACTTTATAGCAGCTTCTTTGTTACTTATTTTATAGAAATTTAACGTAAATGTACTAGAAACTTGTTTAGATTTCGTGTAAAGTCACTTACGCGGTTTTGTACCAGCAAATTACATTTAAATACTATACTTTTAGGAGATACGCGGGCTTAAAATAAAATACATAATATTATATTATTAATTTGAATTTATTATGATATATTATAGTAGAAAAAAACATACAAAATTATACATCTTCTTAGAAAAAAAAAAACAATAACTCTTACTCTAGATATCAATTTAATCACACAATCCCTGAATTTCTCTAATTACAATAAAACAATTACGTTCACATAATTAAGAATAATAAACTAATCAGCCTCCTCGATCTTCTAAAATCCCAGCATTTCAATCTTTGTTAATTAGTTTCTTGGACGAATACGATTTTTTTTTATTAAAAGCTTTAACAATTAAATATGGCAATCATTACACCTGGATGCTCTTATATTCTTATTATCTTAGACGTAGAAGTACTTCTATTATCTTAGTTCTTAAATTCTCATTAAAACGATTAATAATCACAGCATTTAAGATCTTGGTTATTAGGAATATTATTTAAAAGGTAAATTATCGTAAAAACTATGACAGTCTTTAGGTATGACACTCTTCAATTCCTGTAGGTGATCATACTTTGTTTTGGATATTGGTTGTCTGGATTCATACAATGGACCTACGCAATCAATTAAAGAGTCAGATAATATCTTTTTTGGTCTCCTAGGTAAAGGAACAAAATCGTCTACAAAGTGGAGTTTAAAATCAATTGTCCCACTAGGACTGTATCTTAGGGCCCTTATGTCCATGACGACACGATCACCCGCCCCACGACCAGGTCTTATTGAATCATAAATGAGGTGATCTTTATGAGCAAAGTTTTTAAAAAATGTATGAGTAATAACCTGGTAAGGACTCGGCACTTTTCTGGCCTCCTTCTTTGCCTGGATTGTTGCGTATGGTGAGGGTAGAAATATTTCTCGATTTTTCAATTTTCTTTCGATCACCGAGTGCACCGAATCGACTTCCATCTGAGTGTGGCCCTTTTCCAAGTATTTTTGAGTTATAACTATGTTCTTGGCCATGGCCAAACGCAACAACGCATTCGACACAATATTATTTCTATTCTGGGCTGTGCAGCCATCTGTGAACAATACTACATCCTTTGGATCATTTTCCAGTAATTTAGTTAAAGTCAAGAAATGATGCGTATGTAGTAGCTTTTAAGTCGCATGCCGTCTCGTCGAACCAGTAACACGCGACTCCATTAGTTCCCAGGTTGTAAATTGTAAAGTTGTGGACGGCAAGTTTTGTCTTAAAATATAGTGCACTGGCGTTGAGTGAAGGACACAATTTGACTGCTTGAAGATCTGCTGTTAATGCATGTATCGTCCCTTTCCGTGCTGCTTCTTTGTCAAGGGTTTTTTCAATTCTAGCTAAGTCTTTTAGCTCAATATGTTTTATATACTGCTCATCTGACATGTTACCTGCTTTGTGAGCGCAGCACTGGTCGCATGCGTCTTTCTTTGGTTGAAATAGACTGATGTTCTCTTCGAATAAAACCCCTTCAAATACCTTCCTAGAGGCCACAGGTTCATTTCGCGAAACTGAGTAGTCTACATATAGACGATACAATTGTGATTTTGTTTGTATGATGGGTTCTAAATAAAGCTTTGAAGTAGATTGTCTACAGTAATGAGACGGTAGTTTCGGTAGCGCCATCAAGTATTTTCTGGCTGATTCTTTTTTTGTTTCTGTGGCTACTACAGCACTTGGTTCAGATTCATTGTCGATAGTCGTCTTCTCTCCTAGCCAATATCGAACTGTCCATTCTTTTATTCCCAATGTTTCCAAAAATGTTTTTAAGCAAACTCTTTTCTTTTTATCGTTTACTTTTAAATAGTAAACTTTGGTGTCACTGCGCCTTGAATTTGAGTTCTTAGTTTTTCTAGTTGTAGGTGTCTTATCCACCATTGAAGCTATATACATTTTCTTTTCATGCCAACTCATTTTCCAATAGGTTTTAAAAATTTCTGACCGCACTTCTTCTGTTAGCTTTGGGCAATACATAGCTTTACCACTGAAACATCTCTTCGACATACATATTAGACCCATTATTCTGGCGGGTTTAGGATCATTTTGAACGAATTTAGTGCCATCTTTTTTAAATCCAATGTATTCCTCGCCCATCATCCTTTGCCGCTTATTTATTATTCTTTTCCAGTTATTAGGATTCCCTTTTCGCATTCTTCCATTTTTCTTCGCCGTATTTTCTATTTCCACCACTTTGAAACCACTCCGTATTTGCTGGTGATAGTGGCTTTAAATTTGTTATGTCTGAGAGGGCGACAAATGAAGGATCAGTGACTGAATCATCGGACGAAAATTCAAGGTCATTTTTATTAGGCTCCACTATATTAATGTTTACATCAATAGAAGTAATATTCTCATCTCTATTCTGTGTTGAAGTAGTATCCAATATAGTTGTAAGCGTAGTCAATTCGGATGTCAAATTTTGGTTCGGAGGTTCTTGCTCTAATTCCCCTGACAAAGGAACGGAAACTAGTTCTTGTTGCTGATTTTCTGCAGCAAGTTTATTTGCATAATATTGTTTATTCAATATTTCCTTCTTTTTTCGCAACAATATTTTTCGCCTTTCAAATAGATCTCTTAAAGTTACCACGTCATCGTTAATATCAACATTCTCTAAAAACTCTTCATTTTCTCCGTCCTCCATCATTATTCGGTTACTTCAAATTATTTGTATCTAAAAAAAAAAACAAATTTAATATAATGCAATACCGCGTAAATGATAAACACAACTAGTATAATGTAGTATCAATACCACTTAACTACGTGTTACAGGTTATTATTACTCACAATCATAAAAATACTAAAGAATTGTACTTAATTACTCTATTCAAGCATAAATACATTAAAAACTAAACACTATAAAGAATAAAAACGTACTTACGTGGTTATTATTCACTACAAAATAATTATTTTCGAGAGCACGCACTAATCGTGTTTCAATTTGTTCGCCCATTTCGTAAATACGCGGATTTGCAGCCAACTTCAAACGCAAGTACTGTTACGCGGTATTGTTTTGATTGAAATATGACGTTTCTTATTGGCTAATTCAAATTGTGTGAGAAGTAGTATAAGCGAATCAGTGCTAAGGGTCTGTAGCCGCGAAATTTCAATTTTGCACTTTTTGCTGTTACGCGGTATTTACAAACTGCTCTTCCGCGGTATTGCACGCGCAACGACGAAATGACTTAGAAATGGATTATTGAAGCTTACATATTTTAGTACGGAGCGTCTGTGGTTTCTGATTTGCCTGTGACGTCATCTGACCTATCCGAGATCGCCGCACCATGAACCATTCAATTATTAATTCTTGTGCTATTGTTTATTCTGTGGTATTAGTTTCAGAGTCGCGCCAGGGCTCTTGCTTCATTCGTGTTTATTTCCGTACATCGTGTTTTTTTACTTGTGTGTAGTTTTTATTTCACTATCATGGAAGAAAGCTTCGTCTAATGACAAAGTGATAATTTGTCTAATATTGTTATTTACACAGTAATGGACTTTTTCCCGTCTTATGTCAGTGCTGAAATAAAAGGAGTTAAACTTTTTAAGTAAATATATATAAAGTTTATTTCAACAGCCACATTTTTGTTTTAAATAAAAATGTTAATCTTTTTAATTGCTGTAGAAAATTACTATGATAAAAAATTCATTTCTTCTTATAAAATCTAACCAGTATTGCCACCTTTTACATTAATTACATATCGACATTGATTGTTCACAATTAAAATTAAATTGTCAATGTCTTGCGGTAAGAGGTCCCATGTTCTTTGCAAGTCTTCGTATAGTTGTTGTTTCATCGTCAAATTTGGTGGGAAATCTCTTAAATCTTTTCGTTGTAACATGTCCCCGGCATGCTCGATAGGATTAAAGTCGGGCGACTGTGCAGGCCAATCCAAAACTTGAATATCGTGGTGTCGGAGAGCGGTCGACACCAGCCACACCATATGTGAAGGAGCATTATCATGCATCTGTGTGGGATAATATCATGCTCTGCTACCTCCTCGAGGTATTTTTGTGCAGTCATGCTGCCTTGGATCCAAACGAGCTGGGTTCGTCTGTCTGGAGTAACTCTCCCTGGAGTTCTCCAAACGCGTGTTCTGCGTGAATCCGGATGAAACCCAAACCAGGACTTATCGGTGAAAAGCACCAGAAACCATTGTTCGTTACTCCATGGTAAACGCTCCCGAGCCCACGAGAGCCGCCAACCGCCAACTATGATTTCTTGTTTTCATATGCTCCTCGCTCTTTTTGAAGTTTCACCGTCTTTTGACAGTCAAATTTGTTATTATTATTATTATTATCTGGTAATAGGCGAGCAGCTTATAGCTGATATGCTTATATCTGTGTTGGTGTTTTATATTAGTCCAAGTTCACAGTAAGAATACACTAAATTGGATTGTCTTTACACCATTTGTCCAGTTTGTTTTTAAAACTAATCACAGAGGGAGCATCTACCACATCTTGAGGCAACTTGTTCAATATATTTATGATTCTATTGTTTAGTCTGTGATGTCCCACATTAGTGTATGAGCGGGTGTGGGCCAATCTCATATAGTTAGGATGTCTAGGTCGGTGGATACTGCTGATGTTAAAAATATGAGGCAGCTCTTTGAATTATATTTATGTGTCAATATTTTGTAGGTCTCAATAAGGTCTCCTCTGGTGCGGCGAGATTTCAGCGTTGTTAGATTCAATATTTTTAATCTCTCTTTGTACAGCTTTTTGTGAAGGCATAATGGAGTTTTTGTGGCTTTTCTTTGTACACTCTCCAGCAAATCTACATCCTTAAGAAAATAGGGGTACCAAATTTGAAATCCATACTCTATCAGCGGTCGGACGAATGTTTTATAAACCTTGAGCAATGTATCTGGAGTCAGATGTTGAAACGATCGTCTGATTGCATACAAAATGCTGTTTGCCTTTTTGACAATACTGTGGATATGGTCAGCCCACTTGAGGTCGGATGATATTAAGACATCTAAATCCTTGTGTGAGTTAATTGGCTGTAATTTCCAATTTTATACATTTCTCTGGGATTGTTTCGATCTAGATGCAAAACTGTGCACTTAGAAGGATTAAGTCTTATAATCCAATTTTTTGTCCACTCCTGTATACGCTTTAAGTCTTCTCTTAAGGTTCCCTGGTTCAATAGAGGATTTCCGAAGTATTTCACATCATCAGCAAATAAACAGGCTTCTGAGTGTATTATAGAACTCAACAAAAATTCCAAAGAGGTTAGGCGCGAGTACAGATCCTTGTGGCACTCCACTGAAGACTTTTTTAGGTTGCGAATATACATTTCCAACTCTTATTTGAAAGGTTCTTCCACTCAGATAATTTTTGATCCATTTCAGAAGGTTTCCTCGGATACCCAGATGTTCCAATTTAACCAAAAGACGTCTGTGTGGTACCTTGTCAAAGGCCCGTTCAAAGACAAGGTAGCGTACGGGTTGTTAGTGATTCGTTTTTTTGTTTCATAATTTTGGGTTCTCCCTTGACATTTAATTCGACAGTTGACAGTTCGGTACGCAGAGCCTGTAGGGTCTCTCTTTGTTGTTTTTTTTTATAGTTGAGGGGGCAAACGAGCATGCGGCTCACCTGATGGTAAGTGACTACCGCCGCCCATGAACAACCGCAACATCAGGGGAATTGCAGAAGCATTGCCGGCCTTTTAAAAAGGAGTAGGCTCTTTTCTTGAAGGTTCCTAAGTCGTATTGGTCCGGAAAAATCGCTGGTGGTAAACTATTCCACAAGGCAGTTATGCGACGAAGAAAACATCTTCTAAATCGCACAGTGGTGGACAGCCTATCATCAAAATGGTGTGGATGGTATCGGGAGTTCTGCCGCGATGTGCGTTGGTGAAATTTGGCAGGTGGGATTAATCCGAACAATTCCTCAGAGCACTCCCCGTGGTAAATGCGAAAGAAAATGCAAAGAGATGCAACATTTCTTCGCAGCGCCAATGAGTCGAGCCGATCGGAAAGGACTCGGTCGTAGACGATTCGAGCCGCTCTGCGCTGGATGCGGTCAAGTGGAAGGAGCTGGCACTGGGGAGCCCCAGCCCAGAGATGGGAACAGTATTCCATGTGAGGCCGAACCTGCGCCTTGTAAAGTTGCAGGCGTTGAGCCGGCATGAAATACTGTCCCGCTCTGCTGAGCACGCCAAGCTTTTTAGAGGCCAATTTGGCCTTCTCTTCCAAGTGTCCACGAAACTGCACGTCACTCGATATGTCGACTCCGAGGAGCCTGAGCACCCACGCTCAGGATCGGAATAACATGGTCGTGGATGCTCAGCGAGGGATTCTTCAGGGATACTGGTACCCTCCTGGGGTAGTCTATCGTGTAATTCCGCTACCATGTTGATGGGAGGGGGCGGGGGGGGGGGGGGAATTGGGCCTCCGGCCACCTGCACACACCAGACGAAACGCAGAAGCAGTGCTTCTACTTCACGCCGGTATTCTGTGAGGTCGTGGTACCAACCCGGCTCGAGCCGGCCCATACTTGCAACAGCAAAAATTGCTGCGTGGCTCTACCACCGTGGCATTTTGGTGTTTGGCCACAGTAGATTTGCAACGGTTTGCTCAACTTTTTTTTGTTTTGAAGTGCCTTGACAGCTACCCACCAAGACTTAAACACCACTTTGATCAAACGAGCCTTGCCTGTTTCTCTTTTCCCTAGCCTTATTATTTTAAGCACATCACTTGGGGATATTTCGTCGTTTAGATTACTAATAATATTGTTCACCACACTTTCATCATGTTTCTGGCGTATTTGCACATCTTCCGCCTCAGATTCCTTGGTGCCCGCGATCAAAACATTGCACGCTCGGCGCTCCCGCTCACGTATTTCCGCAATAACATCAGACGTGACGGTTTTTGAAGCAGAAGTGGCGTCAGTTAGGCCAGATTTCGATGCCAATTCCGATCGCAACTGCTGTACTTCATCCCGCAATGCATCAACAGCTTTTATCAGAATCGGTACTTGAAACAGGCCCTCGCGACATGGTATGCATAGGAACAGCATTGTACGTTTGGTTTTTAGGCCCATTACTTTAATTTCACTGCTAGTAAGTCCACTACAAGTTAAACACAAGTGTCGTTTGCACCCATCACATTGCACTGCATCCTCAATATTTACACTTTTTACACACTGATAACACTTCGTAATAGACATGTTCGCGAAGTTTGAATGTAAATACACAGTGAATATTGATATGTTGGCTTTCAACTTTAATGTTCCCCCAACTAATCGATGTTTGATTAAATTTTCTATGTCATTTTCAACCAGTAAATAAATTTGATTTTTAAAGTACTTATATACATTTTTTTAAATACTAGTAATGCTATTAAACATTACTAATATTCCCTTTAACCACTTCTGGTAAGCTTAAAATTCTTGTGTTAGAAGTGGTTCACGAAAGTAGTCGAATGGCGGATTCGAACCCACGACCTTTCAAGTTCACGGTCCGTACCATGCCATTAGGCTACTGACACTTCAAATATAAAGTAAATAACAAATACATTTACATAAAATATATAGCTATTTTTACTGAATAAGTTATTCTGAACCTACTTACGACTCAATAGGTATTTCAACAAGTGGGATGCGGGAAGTAAAGACTGTAAGAACCTAAAAACCCCGAGTTATAGCCGAAATAAGATTTTTTAATTTTTTGGTTATTGGCCATTTTGACACCCTAGGAGTGTAATGAGAACTTTTTGCCCCTATTCAACCAAGACCCCTATGACATTTTCTACATGATAGGCTATTCAAACTGACTAGGCCTAAAGTTCGAATCACCCCCCAACTCATTACTAGTCTTAGTACTAGTAAGTAGTAGTAGTAGTAGTACTTCCAAATCAGAAATAGGCAGCTTTTATTAATAGTTACTTACATCAAAATGATCTTCACACACATATTTAGTGCATTTAGGTCAAATTAAATTGCGGTTCAATAGTTTACACC